CCTCCGCCCGCGCCGCCCCGCCCTCCGCCCCCGCGCCGCCCTCCGCCCGTCGTGCACGAGGTGCTCGACAGTATGCCCGCAATGACAACGTCGTTCATGGGGAATATTCCGTTATAAGGGTTGGGTTTGAGGGTTCTAATCTTTGCCCCTGTTTTTTAACCCGTAAAAAGTGCACAAAAAAACCATTTTTAGACCCTTAAAACGCTAGTGAGGGTTTGAGGGTTTGAGGGTTCTACTAGACATGCTCTTACACCGCAGCAACCCTTAAAACGCGGACGCACACAAACTTCTTTCGCGGTGACGTCACTGTTGATAAAGCCAGAGGGGGAAAACAAAATTATATATTAAAAACAACTTTGAACCAAAACATAAGCAACTTTCAAGCTAGAAAAAAATCAACTTCAAACAGAGCATTTGCTACTTTCATCTCATGTGAAATGGAATTCCAACCTCCAACCTAATATAAATTGACATTCTACCCATAAAAGAAGTCAACTTAACCCGCCTAGATAAAACTTCAACACAATATAATCATATTTTTACTCATAAAATCCAACATTCTACCTACAAAACCGATTTCTCAACCAATATCAACTCGATATTCATATTGAATAGTACGTACACCAATTTTCAACTTGGAACTAAAGATAAACAATGAGCAACTACCCTATATCATCTCGCAACCATGAGAAGGTGTGACAATGTCTTTGGCGAACTTGATCGCGCCTTTTTGACATGTAAGCCATAGGTGACATGTGCGGAAACCACGACGATGCTCGTGCCGCAACTAGATGGCAAAACCCTAGCCCCGTGGCGGAAAGGTGCTACACAACATACGCATGAAGGTGGTCATGCATCTGCTCCTGAAGGTTGTTGGACGCCACACTAGATGTGGGAAGAGAAGCTTTGTTAGTCCCGAGAGTCGGTGGGGAGGAAAAAGGGAAAGAAAGTGTGTCGGGTAGATGGTGGCACTTCGTAGCAAGAAAGCAGTATTGACATGGTCGAAGACGTAACATTTTTTTATTCTTGCCCGAGTTTACCCTACCAAAAATTTGAGTATAGGCAAAATTATTAGGTCGGTGTTTTGCTTGACCGTGAGTCAACCAAATTTGGCTAGAGAAAATAAACTAGAGTTGCTAAAGGAGCATTGTCATAAAAGAATTGGAAATCGACCAAACAAGGACCAATGTTTTGGCCATTTCGAGAAATTTGGTAGGGCAGACAATGATGGCAATCAAAAAATATTTTTATTTTGTATCTCGCGTACTTCGAATTTGCGATGTGGAAACTAGCGAGATCTAGAGGCTTGTGAACGGTTGCAAGGATGGATTGTGGCGGATCACATGTGATCGGAGCTACATAAACTTTGTAGTGTATATTCCCTTATGTCTTTTCTTAAAAAAATATTCCCTTCTGTCTTAATACAGGAGGCACGGAATGCTCTTGCGTGTTTTTTCTATAAAAAAAAGTGGTAAAAATGAGACAAGTAAAAGGTTAAGGGAGGGAATAACCATTCTTTTACATAAAAAACACCCATTTCCACCTAATTTTGAGCATTGATTGGCAGGGACAACCGCAGCTGGACGGTCGTACGTACGCGAATGTGATACCGAACACATGTGACGAATATGAACTACAGTAGTACTCCCACGACTGTATACCCTCCCCTTCCCTACCAAACAAAACGTGCTCCCCACCTCGCCCGTGTCTGTCTGCATGAGAAGCGAAACGTTGGGCGGGCCGGGGGATGATAAATGAATGGATTGGCAGACGACTGCAGCACATGCGTGGCCATCGCACAGCAGCGATTCGTTGGCAAGGCGTCCGGAAGAACGGTCTCGTGCATGGCACTTGGAAAGGTAGGATCCGATCCAACAGTTGCAGTCGCACGAGGCCCCCGGCACATGTGCATTGCCCCCCCTTCCACTCGAGTCTCATCGTAGTAGCACGTACTTATCCTTGTGCTGAAATGAGTTTCTCAATTTTCTTTTCCTGGATTTGCTAATTCTCATCTTTCATTTAAAAAGATCAACATCTACTATCATATATCATAGGTACAAAGCATCTTAACTATAATAAAACTACATCGATATTCCGAGACCACCGAAGAACCATTAATGCTGCCAGAACGAGCCGCCGATGCGTCGCTGTCGCCGTTCCTCTATCGGAGCCGGGTTGACCTTGTCGATGACAGATGGAAAGTGTTTGTGGACATGCCCCTAGGACGAGCGTCCTGGAGCCGCAGTCATCGTCGTTGAACCCTCGAATAAATCTGAAGCACCTGACACTAAACGTCGCCACACGACGAGAAACTCTAACCTCACTGCTCCAGAAAGATGACATGAATCTACACCGGAGCTCCGTCAACTACATCCAGATGGACGAACTCAAGGAGGATCGAAAACCGAACTCAAGAAGGGGAGAGTTTACCCTAACCCTAAAATAGATTGAATTACCGAGGCATGTCTTTTTTATTTAATAAGATTAATCCAATAATGTAAGAGTTAGATGAGACTTTGTTAGTTCTCATCTAGATGAGGATTAGCAAATCCCAAAAGTTTATCATCTCAATCACACACATTGTTTATCCTCTGGCAACGCACAATTCTCTTCCTCTGCATAATCGAACAACAATAGTACACTGCAATTCATTCAATCAATGGCCGACCACCTCTCAATAATTGAATCGATGCTGTCCATAACTAGAAAATCCACGCTGAAGAACATCTGTTCTCTAACTTTGCATCGGATGGGAAATCTGTCATCAATAATGGCATCGGAGGTTGGGGCACGAACTTGTGCGTTGAACTTGGAAAGATCTCCGGCGGCTGCACCGTTGGCCCAAGTCGCACCCGAGGAAAGGTCACTTAGCTTTAGCCTAATCCGCTCTTACGATGGTACTCATTCCTTCCAGCGCACTCACCAAGCTGGGTGCTGCCATTGACTCTCGAGCAGGAGTGGATTACAACAAGTTTGCGTGCGCCCGATCACATCCGATGTGCGGTCGCAAAGCAAAGATGAAACGAATAGATCCATCCATCCCGTGCGGCTGACGGCAACGTTTTGACTAAGTAAAAAAAAAGTTACTGTATAAACCTAGCCGCGCGCACGTGCTCGCCGGCGCACTTTGACCGGCACCCCCCCGGCGAACGTGGCGGTGAGCCCCGGCGCGAACTTGGGCCGCCGCGAGCTCCGCCCCACCGTCTCGATGTCGAAGCCCTGGACCACGGCCACGATGGCGGCCTTCATCTCCATGATGGCCAGCTCCTTGCCAATGCAGACGCGCACGCCGCCCTGGAACACCGGGTACCGGTACGGGCTCTCCGGCACGAACTGGCTGTCCCGGAGCCACCTCTCCGGCCGGAACTCGGCGCAGTCGGGCCCCCACACGGACTCCATCCGCCCCATGGCGTACGCGTGGTAGGTCACCCGGGTGCCCTTGGCCACGGGCGTGCCGTCCGGGAGCGTGTCCTCCCCGGCCGCGAACTTGGAGTCGAACTGCACCGGCGGGAACAGCCGCATGCACTCGTACAGGGCCGCGTGCACGTAGTGCATGTCCTTGAGATTCTCGGAGGAGGCGATCGCGGGGTGGTCGTCGACGTCTCTCCCTCCGGCGGTGACGCGGGAGACCTCGTCCCGGATCGCGTCGGCGACGTGGGGGTGGTCGGAGAGGAGCAGGAAGAAGGCGGTGAGAGCAGAGGCGACGGTGTCGCGCCCGGCCAGCAGGAAGCTCACGACGATGTCGCGGAGGTACTTGTCGTCGTTGATGGAGCCCATGAAGCGCGACAGGAGGTCGTCGCCCGAGGCAGTAGCGGAGCCGAGCTTGCGGCGCTGCCGGATGACCTCGGCGGCAAGATCGTCGACGAGGCCGATCGCGTCGCGGAGCTCCCGCTCATCCCCTATGTTGAGCAACCGCTTAAGCTTCCAGACCACGTGCATGGGCGCCGTCGCTCGCCGCGCCGAGAGCATCGACGCCGTGTCGAAAGCGTCGGCGAACGCCGACATAGGCAGGGACAGCTCGAGGCAGCCGGGGTCGAGGCCGAAGGAGATCTTGCATATGCAGTCGAAAGCGAAGCGGCGGAACACGTCCTGCAGGTCGAGCAGCTTCTCCTCGCCACCCTGTTCAGCGGAAGCAGAGTGGAGCAGAGGAATGAGGCGGCACCTCAGCTCGGAGGCAACGACGCTGGCCGTGAAGGCGCGGATCGCCGGGGACGCGAGCTCGGCGGCGGCGAGCTTGCGCTGGAAGAGCCAGGAGTCGCCGTCGACGTTGAATATGCCGCGGCCGAGGAAGTCGGCGAGGATGGCGGAGAAGGGCGCGCCCTTGGGGTAGTTGTCGAACCGGCCGCGGAGCATGTGCTCGACGGTGGCCGGGTTGGCGGTGAGCACGTTGCCGAGGACGTGCACGTGCACGGTCCGCCCGGGCTCGCGGCGCAGCAGGTGGGCGAACCAGTCGCAGAGGTTGTCGAACTCGCCCGTCCACGACGCCGTCAGGTAGGCCTCGCACACCGCGCACGCGCACCACCACGGCGGCCGCAGCCGCATGGAGCCCAGGAGCACGGCGAGGGCCAGCGTGCACACGGCCGAGGCGAAGAAGATGGCGGCCACCGGGCTCGCCAGGGCGTGCGCCGCGACGTGACACGTGGTCGAACCCGCGCCCGCGCCCGCGACCATGAGGAAGAACATCGATCGGGGCTTTCCCGAGCTCCTTTCGCGCGCGTGCGCTCGGCTCTGCTTTTATGGTAGTGTGTGCGTGTGCGTGCGCGTTTGGCGTTGTGGCTGCGCCCGCGGCGTTTTATATACCGGACCGACTGTACGTCACGTACCTGAAATATTTTCATCCATCCATCAGTCACTTATACAGGAACTGCTAGATCATAATCCAACGGTTCAAAACAGATTCACTTCATCTTCAACCTCCATTCCTTCTTTCCCCTCCCGACCCCCAAGCCTACCCCGCCCTAACCGCCGGCCTCCACCACCCGCGGCCGGTTGGCGCTACCGCGCACCGCTTCACCGCCCCGTCCTCCCCTCGACCTCCTCCCACCGTCGTTGCTGGTCGCAGCCCCGACCATCCCTCTAAGCCCGGCACCACCCATGAAAACCTCCGACAACCCCCTAGCTCCCACCCCTAAGATAGATAATGGGGCCATTACTTCAAACTAAGATAGATGGTGGGACTAGTTCTTCTCCGACAAGATCTGGTCAAGAGGGAAGGAAGGAGAAGGAAGGAAGAAGAGAAAAGGTGACTGACGGGAGAAGAAATTTTAGGCACAGAGAAATAGCAAATCAGTTTTGGAGGTCAAGGCCTTCATTTTAGAGGAAGAAAAACAAAATTGAATATGGTTTAGGTGATGTGGTGCTTACTTGTCTTCCACACAACCTCATCATCATCCAACCAATGCGGAAAAATAACCCAAAAATGGATATTCTAAAATTGAAGTCTTCCAAGACAACATGAATTTCAAAATATCAGAACTTTGGTTAAATAAATTCGATTTCATATACACTAAGGGATATAATAATTGTTCTTCCATTGAAATTTTTGTTAGATGTACTCCTATAAACAATCCAGAGTACTTTCACATCATACGTGTTTCTAAAAGTTCATGTGGTTTTATGAAGAAAAAATTGGTCTACGGATTTTGCTAATAGTGTGTGACAGATAAAATATACAGGCGTGCCAATATACTTTTGTATAGAGAATAATAAAGAACCAAAACATAAATCAAATAACTCTATATTTGTTATTTTTTTCGAGAACTATAGTGAACTATATTTGTCTAGGTGAATGCATCACATTGCACCATTATGTCCAAATCTGCGACTGTGTGGTTTCAAGTTCCTGGAGTCTCATAAGACAATCTCCTTACTTAAATATATACAATAATGAATTTCATGGAAACCTAAGTGGTTATCTTGAAGTCTATGTACCCTATTCTATAAATGTGCATAATACAAAATATGAATGTCTCAAAGCCTAGGTTGCCCCAAAACATTGTATTTATCCGAGCTCGCGTGATTCCAGTAAACAGATAGAATACCCTCCTCAGATCATTCGAAAGTGATTTTGATAATTCCAAAAATGGTTAAGGCGATGTGGTGCTTATGTGCCTTCCACGCCACCTCAACATCATCCAAACAATGTAGGAAAGTGATTTTGCTAATAGTGTGTGACAGATAAAATATACAGGCGTGCCAATATACTTTTGTATAGAGAATAATAAAGAACCAAAACATAAATCAAATAACTCTATATTTGTTATTTTTTTCGAGAACTATAGTGAACTATATTTGTCTAGGTGAATGCATCACATTGCACCATTATGTCCAAATCTGCGACTGTGTGGTTTCAAGTTCCTGGAGTCTCATAAGACAATCTCCTTACTTAAATATAGGGGTGGAAAGTGGTAGCGGATAATCCGAAATATCCGATATTCGTATTCGAGAAAATGCCTATTCGTATCCGAAAAATCCGCATCCGAACCAAAATGGAAATGGAAATTATCCGTATCCGAATTTATTACACAAATAAAAAATAAAATATGGTAGGAGATTTTGACACAAATATGGATATGGAAGTGGATATATCCGTATCCGAATAAGATTATGGGGGGTAATTTTTAAAATTCTAGGCCCAATATTCCAATTATCCAACATAAAAGCCAAATAAGTGGTCAAATTTTACTCTTTATGTGATTAAACTTATAAATTATTATGCATTACAATAGTATTTATTCATAAACCTATTTATCATTGACTTATTGTATGTCACAAGTTGATTATTTTAGGTCACATAGCTATCGACTAATTTACTTAAGCAATATGTTGATATTATTCGTATCCGTTCCGAATCAAGAAAATATCCAATACATATCCGTATTCGAATAATATCCGAGCCGCATCCGTATCCGATAACATCCGTATTCGGATTCGGATTCGTTTTGAAAATATGAAAATGGAAGTGGTAAGAGCACTATCCGATCAGCATCCGATCCGTTTCCACCCCTACTTAAATATATACAATAATGAGTTTCATGGAAACCTAAGTGGTTATCTTGAAGTCTATGTACCCTATTCTATAAATGTGCATAATACAAAATATGAATGTCTCAAAGCCTAGGTTGCCCCAAAACATTGTATTTATCCGAGCTCGCGTGATTCCAGTAAACAGATAGAATACCCTCCTCCGATCATTCGAAAGTGATTTTGATAATTCTAAAAATGGTTAAGGCGATGTGGTGCTTATGTGCCTTCCACGCCACCTCAACATCATCCAAACAATGCAGGAAATAGCAAAAAAAAAAAGATTTTCCAAAATTCAAGATTTTTAAGAAGAAAGAATTTTTTAAAAAATCATAACTTTAGTTAACTAAATTTTATTATTAGAATTATTGAGGTATCTCCCCTTGAGGTTTTCTTTAAACGTAATTGTCCACAATTCAGAGTACTATAAAAAATACGTGTTTTCCAGATTTTATGTGGTCTTATGAAAACATGCGCGTGCACACACACACAACGGTCTAAGGACTTTGCTATTAGTGTGATACATAAAATATATCGATGTGTTAGTATATGCTTGTATACAACGTAAGTAAATGAAAACACAAAATAGAAAAAACTATATTAACCCATTCTTTCCGAGAATAATAGTGAATATGTTCCGCATCAATGCATCACATTGGCATTGAGTCTGACTGAAATTTGCAATTTTGCGGTACGAGTTTCTAGAGTCCATAATACAATCTCGTTAATTACATATAGAATGAGCCTCGCCGAAAACATCATATTAAATTTTGTTGATGGTCAATCTTGAAGTCTATATACTATGTTCTCCAAATGCACATAGATAATGCAAACAGCAATGTGTCAAAATGCAGGCCGGCCAACAATATGTATTTTTCTGGCCTTATATGCCGTGAGCTGAAAATGTAGGATGAAATAAGAAGTGTTCGGCCTCGCCGGCCAAAAAATAAGTTCAGCTTCATCGGCCATGGAAGTGTGATCATGAGTCCATACCGGCTGGATCTCCTACACCATAGTTAGTGGCGGACAGATGAACAATTCAAAATTGTGAGAATCAAGTTGTTGTACATAAATAAGAAATTGTACGCACATGTGGACTGACACCGTCTCCAGGCATGGGGGGAATGAAAAAAATAATGACAAAGGTGAGTGTCTTTCCTAAATCAGAATTCAATGTAAATCTAGCACATGGCAAAAACATGTGTGAAATAAATTTTCTTTCTCCTAAATAGTGGAAACTCCACATATGGCGTCGGTGCTCTGAACTTGCATGCGGCTTCTCCCTAAAAAAAATCTTGTGTAGTGCCCATAATAAATCATTGAAGCATGCATGTGGTTTTTTGGTTTGGAAACCTGACATGTTAAAAACACAAATTTATCAATGCACAGATAAGTGTCTATATAATATGAGAAAAATATACGAGTTCTCTCGTAAACAAATACACTTGTCATAAAAATGGAGCTTTTTTTGTTTTTTACAGAAGAAATTCCACAATTTAAATATATGGATTGATGAAACTATTACCGGTAGTTTCATATATATTATATATCAAAGCATGATATGAAAGATAAAATTATTCAGAAATGTTATACACATTCTAAAAAGAGCAAAACACTTGATCGTTCACTTGGTAGACCATCTTTTATTAGTAAATAACAATTGTTGTGCACATAATCATACACAAATAGATTGTACTGGTTAGATATATCATTGTCTATAAACAAACCAAATACACTAGATCTTCATAATTATACATAAACAGATAATAATCATTGGGTCTATATAACCGTACCTAAACACTGCATAATTACAACTAAAACAAATCATAACCGGGAGATCTGCGCATCTAATCATTATAATTGCACTTAAGAAATATGGCTAGAAAATTATTTATAAGTCCATATGTCAATATTAGTTAAACTATACTAATCTAATGTAAGACATGTTATATTAGATGGACAGATACACGATTGGAACCTTGTAAAAAAAGTTATAGCCAATAAAAGTATTTATCTTACTATCCATGCTCCATAGAAAATTAGTTTGTTATAAATATCCTAGGGGAGATATTCAAAAGAAAATGACTGAGAAGAGATTAAGCACCAACGTGGGTATCGATGTGAGGAGTACTTTAGTGAACATTGATTATTGAAACCGAATCTAGAGATCGTGTGGTCATTTATTTGTTTAATTTTTTAAAAATAAAATAAGAACACTCGAGAGCCATGTGCTTATATATTAAGATAGAAAGCAAGGTTCATTTACAAAGATTGTCTCTAAGCGCCATGGAAAGGCTCCATCTCAAACAGGTCCACGGGAAGAACTATGGTGCTACTCGTTTTAGACTAGTGTTACCCTTCCGCCACTCATGACAATGGTTCTTGATTTTCTCGAACACCACTCCAAAGGAGGAGGGGGCGTTCTTGAACACCTTTCTGTTTCTCTCAAGCCATATGAAGCGTGGAGTGCATAGGATCACCGAGTTCATGCCCTTCTGTAACTTCAGGGGACAATGTGTTGTAGAGAGGTCCACCACTGCATGGTTGAGTCATCGATGGAACCGTGGAGGGGACAATCTGGTGAATTCCGATCCACCTTAGCACCTCAGGCGACACCTCTCGGGCGAAAACACATCTAAGCAAGAGGTGCTCGAGCGTTT